GGGCGTCCGTTTCCTGCAGATTCTGCGCATGTTACACGTGGACAGACAGGGCGGTACGTGGAGGCTGCTTGGATCAGTGATATACCTCCATCGACAGGTAAGCTTCTCGTTCACTACACATATAACCTACATTGTCCATCCTCACTTTATGTCATACCCGCTGGCAACATCATCATCATCATCATGTAGTAGGTCCTTTGCAGAAAGTCGCTGTGATCACGGACTGCCTAAAAGAAACTCAGTCTCTCGCCAGCTTTCCCGCCTTGTGTACATTCATATTCAAGGAGTCACTTATATCCTGTGCCCATCTTCTTGTTGGTCTGTCCCTGTCCCTCCTTCGTGGTTCAATGCCTTCTGCTTTTTTTTTTCAATCCGCCATGGCGCTTAATATGGCCAAAATATGTCAACTTCCCAGACAAGGTGCTGTTTTTTTATCCACTCTTCCTTCGTGTTAATATCTTTTTGCAATGTCAGTATTTCCATCTGGCATACAATTTTAAATTTCAATTCATTAAATTCGAGATATTTGTTAATTTAACGCGGTATAACATAAATCGTTATAATTCATGTTTAGGTAGGCTGGTCGAACGGTTAGGAATGCAGATTCTCGTGCGGGAGGCAAAACTAAAAATCTTAACCTACAGTAATCGGCATGAGACCCTAAATCTTCAGACCCATTCTACCAGGTTTGTGTTTTTCCCGTATGGTTCGGCCTCTCTTCCCAAAACGACTAGCCGCCGGCCGAAATCGTCACTCAAAGTACATACGTCGTAGATCCGTGAGTCTCCGTAAAAATTGCACTCGTGAACCGAACGACACAGCCGTGAAACGAACTTAGACCTTCAGAGCGCGAAGCAAACTGTTTGATCACTTCGCCAAGGACGGTCAACTGCAGGATTTCTATTTCGTCCCAATTAGACTCTCTTTGTTGAAACTCAATCTCTAGATGTTTTTCTGCCACTCCCACCCCAGTTGGGTCATGGTCTACCCCTTTCTCCTTTGCGTTCAATTTTTCCCTTTCAGTTTGGCTTTTTATAAGAGTGTGTGCTGTGTCTTTTACTTTGGCTTAAATATTTTACTTGTCTCTGTTAAATTCTCTTAAACACCTCTCTTTTTATTTCCTGGGGGCTATATGGTCTCGAATTAATCAAGTAACATTTACATGGTCTCGAGGCATGGCATCTGCCTCGAGTGATGGAGGGAATGGGTTCAAACCTCGGTGAAGACTGTGATTATTTTTTCACGTGGACTTTTAGTAATTTCCCATGGTCTCTGGATAGTAAGACCGGACGCCCGTGTGTATTGCTGCGCACGTAAAACAAATCTCGTGGCAGTTGGAAATCGAAAAGAGTAGCCTAACGGCCTGCCCGGAAAAATTTGAAAAAATATCTACCTAAAATGTATTTCAGGATCCTCGACGGTGCAACGGAGTTTGTGCACTGCGCGGAGAACCTCTGTATTTGATCGATTTGATGACCCATTTTTCTATAGCACTAAGATATGATGTATGTTAAATGACTATTGATAAGCAATCAAAGTCTTCCCCATATAGGATGCAATTTTTTTGTTTGAAGCCCCACCCTGGCTTTTGCCGAGGGCCCTGAATATATCTGGCGCATAGATATGGCCTAGCCATAGATATGGTCTATCGGCTGAAAGGGGTTTATGTGACCTCTCCACGGGTGATCCTCATCCGCATGGTGGCACTTTGTGTCACCAGGTGTTTATCGCTTGTGTGATGGATGACCTGGTGGGGTACAAACACCTACCTACCTACCGACATAAGCAATCTTCTCCGTGTACGTGTGTCCTTAAGGGGTCACTACACCCAAAATTTTTATTTTTTTATTTACAGAGTTAGAGCAGTTATTTTATAATGGTCATTTGTATGGAGACATGCTATTACATTTGTATACTTTAAGTGTTACAAAAATCATAGTTGTCATGGCAATAGCCGCCATTTTGTGGGAAAAAACCAATATGTACTTAGAATCCTAAAATTTTAAAAACACACATAGTATTTAACAATAGATGATGGATTCATGATTTTGTATCTTGTTTAGAGGTACAGGTCTAGTTTATTTACTTTAAACATGTTTTTAAATATTTTTCGTAGAATTTTAAAATGTAGGTTTATTGAAAAAGTCGAAAAAATTTAGCCTTATAAGACAATAATCAAGTTTTAAAAAACAAAACTTTCTAAAATCTACTTTTAGATAGACCAGTCCCTATAATATTGTTTACGAAGTATGCATACAGAATTTCATGTTTCTACTCTTTATATTAGCTTAGATTTTAGACCCCAAGTTACTTCGAATCTGTATGATACCCCAATATATATGTTAAAAAAGAATACCCTTTCCCACACCTTTAGACGTATTATGTATATAGGGCCAGATCTATATTTTATAGACCAAACGGCACTTGGTGGCTGATATAGTCAACATCTCTCTGGCCACCTTTACTGCACCTGGTACCCAGTCAAGGCTGGGTCAGGTCCGCCTGTATATAGGTCCTTTTGACTAAATCACGGTACATTTTGGAGGAGTCCCCTCGAAAATAGGTCACTGGAAGCGTTTCCATGTTACATTGTGTGACATTTGAATATGCTTACAAAGTGCTGTGTTCTAAACGTATTCATATTACAAATAAACAGAGAAGGCCGTGGCTGGGTCGATCTGGAGCCAAGGTCATTCTGAAGAGAGCCCAATTCCGTCAGGACCCGAACTCACGACCTTCTGATCCGCAGGCGCGGCTCGTCTTGCCACTTCACCATGGCGACTTTAATATTCTGTTGAAATTGGTTTCTGGGATTTTCTCCTGTTTGATTCTCATCCATGAGATAGTAATCACACAGACTACACTCCTATAGGAAGGAAATTATCTAAAAATAAACCTGATATAAGTAATACGAATACAGTTAATGTTTTCAATGGTATATGAGTTTTCATGTTTTTTATTTTTATTTTTTATCTTTGTCACATCCAGGAATTGATTACAACGCTGTACATAGGATTTCTTGGTCTGATATTTTCCTCTTACTTTGTATACCTGGCCGAGCGAGAGGACGGCAGGAAAGGACTTCTCCAGCTATGCAGATGCCTTGTGGTGGGGTGTGGTATGTTAACTTTACTTACTTCTTGTGGTTATAGTTATGACGGTAAAAATTTTGATTACTCAGCATTTTCTCCAGGCCATGTCGGCGTGGTGGGGAATGAACAGATAGACAGACTGGCTGGATCTGCTCCGCTGGGTTTTAAATTGATACATGACAAGGCAGATGTGGTCAGAGCCCTTTGGGAACACGTAACGAAGTCAGAAGAAAAACTAAATTGTTATGGGCTGGCCAGAATGATGTACCTGGGTGTGACCATAGTGTTCGACCAGCACACTACGCTCCGAGGAAAGTCAAGACGGACATACAGCCAGAGAACGACTGGTACCCTTAGTATTGGAACTCTGTGCTGGCTGGATGCTGAGGACGGAGCGCATATAGGAATGCCCCGAGTGCTGTCAATTATTGACTCAACTCAACTCAGCTCAACTCAACTCAACTCAGCATTTGTTACAGTAACAATGTCAAATACAGTAGCGAATGTAGTTCCAATGGAGTTTAGGACTACTGAGATAACAGTAATGACCATTGGTGTTGTCCATGGAATTGTGTTCTATCTTTCAGACAGCAGTTGTGATCATTGGTGTAACTGGTAAAATACTTGTAACTGTCTTTTGTCTTCCAGATAACAGGAATGACCATAGGTGTTGTCCATGGAATTTTTATTGATCTTTTAGACAGCAGTTATGATCATTGGTGTAACTGGTAAAATATTGTGTGTCTTTTGTCTTCCAGATAACAGGAATGACCATAGGTGTTGTTCATGGAATTGTGTTCTATCTTTCAGACAGCAGTTGTGATCATTGGTGTTACTGGTGAAATATTTGCCTTTTGTCTTTCAGATAACAGTAATGACCATTGGTTACGGGGACAAAGTACCTCAGACATGGATGGGTAAAATAGTTGCCTCATGCTTTGCAGTTTTTGCCATCTCATTCTTTGCCTTACCCGCCGTGAGTACCTTTATGCAGTCGCTATTATGTGTAATTATCAGAATTGAACTGTAAGAGAACATACGCTGTGGTCATTTAGGACAAGACAGGACTACAAACAAATGAGGGCAAAAATTTAAAAAAAAAGTGAACTATTTCAGTTACCTTGAACACTGCACCCGGGCCTGATGGTGTCAGGTATGGTCACATGAAGGCTTTGACAGATGTAGACCTGGCAGAGATGGCCGACTGTTTTAACCAGAGTATTAAGACAGCATCAGTACCGCAAGACTGGGCGCACAGCTGTCTAATCCCACTACCAAAACCTTTTAAAGATCATTCTAAGCTCAGTGGCTTTAGAATCATAACCTTACAAAACACATTTGGGAAGGTCTTGGAGAAGATAGTTGCTGTGAAGTTACAAGAATTTTTGGAAAGGGGGAAGCTTCTCCCAAGAGGTCTGGGAAGTTACAGGCCAGGAAAGGACACTTGGGCAAATGCGGCCACTTTTGCTTTTGACGTCTGTGAAGGGTTCCAGAACAGACAGGAAACTATGGCGGTAGGACTAGATCTCGAGGATGCTTATAACAGATTGAGATACTACATCTTAATGACTGCACTGAGGGAGAAGGAGGTCAATCCATGGCTGGTGAATTGGGTTGCAGCTGTCCTGTATTCACGTCGGGTTGCTCTCCGACTGGGCTCATGGACCTCTGAACCATGCACTTTAGCCCCAGGACTGCCTTAGGGATCCGCCATCTCGCCTGTGCTCTTCAACGTGTATACGAGCAAGATTGCAAGCCTAGAAGCACCAGGAGTTGGAAGGATACTGACTTTTGCGGATTATATACTTGCATATAGGCAGGGGGAAGAGAGGGAACAAACAGCTCGGGAGCTACAAGCGACACTAGACAAAGTGACTGAGTGGTGTACGGAAATAAAGGCTGTCGTTCACCCGGAAAAAGCGTCTGTTTTGTGGTGTTCTCTGGACAACAGAATCGTTAAAACTATTGTCCCAAGTCTCACGATAGATGGTAGAAACATCAACAGAGAGAGCAAACTGAAGTATCTGGGAATTACATTTGACAGGAGTCTGTCATTTAAGGACCATGTGGAGAATGTTGTGACGAGATGCCAAAAAGGACTTAGTGCACTTAAGACTATGGCTGAAATTGACATAGAGCAGAGAATGCTTTTCAAACTATATCAGCACCTGATCCTGTCAGTGGTGGATTATGGCCTGGGACTGCTTACCGTCTCAAAGAGTTAGATGGACAAACTAGAGCGCATACAGAACGCGGCTATGCGGGTCATTCTGGGTTGCACCAGAGATACCCCAGTGGTGTGTATGCGATACATCCTTGGTTTGCCGACGGTTGCAGGTAGGCACAAGGTGATGCAGGCGAAGTCAAATCTCAGGGTAGCTGCAGACACAGACATCCCTCTGCATGAAGCTCTGGGTGCAGTTAAGGGTCAGAGACTGATAAGAGGGAGGTCATGGATGGCTCAGGCAGAAGACACAATCAGACAGGTTTGCATCCTTGAGAACATTAGGCGAGGAGAGGAGTGGGTCAAAGTGCCACCTGAGCAGTCTGACTTGTGTAGAGTCATAATCACGCTGAGCCGGGAATGCAGAGACTGGCCAGCAGGTGCCACAAAGGTGGAAATTCAGCAATTAATTCAAGATAATGCTCGCTCAGAGGATTTGATAATTTACACAGACGGTTCAGTGTCAAGAGGCAAAAGAAGTGCTTGGGTTTTTTTTAGCAAAAGTTAATGGTCGACGTTTGGTGCAGGAGAGCCTACCATATGATACAACAACATCCAGCTTAAGAATGGAGGTGGAGGCGGTCACTGCAGCTTTCCGCTGGCTAGAGAACACGACACACACACACACATTGTAATTGTAACTGATTCAGAAAGCATGCTGAGGAAGATCAGAACAGGTATGCTTCGTACAGAGTGGAGGACACGAGTGACGAGTATTGTCTGGATTTTTTCACCGGGTCACGCCGGTGTGTTGGGAAATGAACAGGCGGACAGACTGGCTGGCTCTGCACAACTTGGTAGAATACTGCTACATGATAGGGCAGACGTGGTTAGTGCCTTGTGGGATAGCGTGTACAATGCCGAGGAGCAGATGGATCACCACAGGCTGGTGAGATTGATGCAGTTGGGGGTGACGAGATGTTCTGGCAGAAGCTCAAGGCTCAGAGGAAAGGCAAGACGGACGTTTAATCAGAAAGCTACTGGCACCATTAGTATCGGAACTCTTCGCTAGCTGCTGAAGATGGGGACAGAGCGCTTATGGGAATGCCCCGAGTGCTGTGATGTCGGTTCTTGAATCAAATTAAATCAAATCAATCAAATCAGTTACCTTGAAATGGACATAACTTGGGATAGAAAATGTCTTGGTGAGAACAAAGATCACAGTGGCAGAAAGAGTTACTTGTAAGTTGGAAAGCCGTGCTCAAACGCACTGATCAATGCTCACTGTTTTCAAGTAGACATCATCATCATCATCCTCATCAGCATCTTTATGTGTCACAAAAGTAAAAGTACAGTCAAGTTCCCTTTAAAACGTCAATGGCGTGTAGGGAATATGAGGCTAGACTAGACTCATATTTTTATAGACCTTGGTGGGTGATGTGTTCAACATCCCGTCGGCCACCTTTACTTCCTAGGACTTAACTTGGCACACATTCAAGGCTGGGTTGACCTGGGAACCAAGGTCTTGTATGAACAAATTCAGCTCTGTGCGGAATTGAACCCATGTATTTTGGATCCTTAGGCGAGCTTCTGACCACTACACCGCGGCAGCTGCAATATGTCACATAGCTTGTAGTCTTTTCCTCCATTTCGTTTTATCCTGTTCAATACTTTCGATAACTTGGATTTAATCCAGTCCAGTAACTTTGACCTCTCTGTTCAAAGTTCATTTTAGGTTTTCCTGTGACGTTCCTGTTTCTTCAATCCATTTGTTTCCAATTTTCTTTGTCTAATAACTGTTGATACAAGTTAGGTGCATATCCTTTACAGGACGTTGCAGAGCCAGCCCCAGCATCTATTGGTTGTTTGGGTATTTCTAGGCAAATTTTACGTTTAGTAGTTTAGCATTGCTTTCTGAACGGTACCACTGTTGAAACCAGCGCAACACAAACCGTCCGCAGCAGGGATCGAACCCTGCACCTTGGCATTGCGAATCGCGTTCTCAAAGCTTAAGCCACAGACGACTATTGTTGATACAAGCCGCCATAAATTTGTCTCATTTCCTCACCCTTCTTCGATTCGTCCAATTTAATGTTTACCGATTTTCTCAGGCTTTTTTTATTTTCTTAGTGCATGTAACTTTCGTGTCATATAGTTCTTGAACATGTACTTGCATACGTCAAAATTATAATAATATTAGAATTGAAAATAAGTAGCTTGGTTTTAAAGCTATACAGTTTAGAGTTCCATATTTTGTCCAAGAAGACATTACAGTAATATATATATATATATATAATTTTTTTTTTTTTTCTTGGTTCTTAGTATACTGCTAAAGTAATGAACATCTAACCTTCACATTCTCCTGATCACCTTGGGCCCGAAGGTTGTAGATGCAAATCCACATCAAGCCTGATTTCTTCCAAAAACGGCTTCAGCTCATAGGTCGACCAAGCCTAAAATGGGTAGCAGGTAAATTCCTGGAAAGTAAAGGCAACTGGCTTGATTTGACCACAACACACACTGATTGACGGTTGGTCCAAAAAATTCAAGTCTAGTTCTTGTGTCCAGTACGCTCAACAATGGGGAAAAGGGTCCTTTACTATATGCCCAGCAACACAAAGCCTGTTCAATCAAATTAATAATTATAAAATATCACCTTTTTTTTGGTAGCTATTAGTTTTACAGTATATATTTACATTATAAAGATTGAGAACATTCATTTGTTCCAGGGAATCCTTGGATCTGGCTTTGCTCTGAAAGTTCAACAAAAGCAGAGACAGAAACATTTTAACAGGCAGATTCCAGCAGCTGCAACACTGATACAGGTATTACCACATCCCTAGACCATGTTAGCAATTCAGTCAATCAGTAGGCTGTCCTTTGCAGAACCTTGCTTCCATAACAACCCTTCGGAAAACCCCTTGATCACAAGCAAGATGTCCTGCGTCCGATACACCCTTCTGGAGATCATCCGTCACATCCTGCACACATCTTCTCTTTGGGATTCCTCTTCCTCTCCTAGCAATTACGTGTAGAGAATGCAACATGTTCTTAATCTGTATCATTGTGCATGATAGTTTACACCAAACCGTATCCTAGGATGAGGTAATGCAGCAAGAAAAAAAGCGGTGTGTGGCATTGCAGACCATGCCCTTAACCACACTGAACTGCTTATTTAGAAGGGAGGCTCTGACAGGCGGACAAACATAGCACTGCTGTTTTCATCTTGCAGCTTCTTCAACATGTTTTGTTACAAACGTATTAGTGAAATCTTTTCTTTATAGCCAATAAAGCAGACCGACTGAGGAATCATGCTGTAAGGGCAACAGAAGACCTCTGTATTAAGACGTAGGTTTAGAAACTGTATTCCTGGACTCAGCTGGTATCACCAATGACTGTGATCTTCATACCTCCCTGTAGTATTATTACCTGGAAAGGCAGAAGGATGCAAACAAAAACACACAAACACACAATTTTACCTCTAGACCTCTTCTGTGGCATAGGGCTGTTCTTCACCATTGGCTAGGAATCAGCCTAAATTCCCAATATGAGCTTTGCTTCCTTCTGCAGATCCTGCAGATTCTTTAGAGTTTGATGTAAAATACATTTGCAGATGCAGTCATAATACATTTACGATAGTTCTTGGCAGTCTGGTTGTTGCTTGTGTCTTCGCTGTTTGCCTGTATCGTATGTGTCACACTTGCTGGAGTGTCTACTGTGGTCATGTACCCTGTTTTTTTAAAGAAGCTTTATGAGCGGACAGAAATGCAGATTTGGCAGATCTTCCAGAAGCAGATCGAAATCTAATAAATTCCAAGATGTAAGGATCTTCTGTGTGCTGTTTCCAATGTGTTGTGTAAGTTAGTCTTCATTTCCTTGATACTCTTCTTGATGTCCCTATTCGATATTCTGTGTGTTCTCCCCATGCCCTGTGTCCATTATATTTCTTCAGCGTGCATATCTTCATATCCCTTCTTGCTACCCCAGTCGAGCTTCTAAGACATCTCTTCTGTGTTACGATGTTGCCCTCATTAATTTTTGTAATGATCCAAGTTTAAGACTTGTTAAATTTGACTTGGTAGACAAATTTGGACTTTTGTGTGTCAAAATTGGGGTTAGTTGTCCCAGAACCTGGTTTGTTGTAGCCCATCGTGTGTTGATCCAGTTTTCCTTCTGGTGGGAAAATTGACCCTAATCATTTAACTGTATGTTTTATTTCTTTGACATTTACTCTGATTGGTATGGTCTCTGGCTGTCTACCTATTACCATTGCCTCTGTCTTTTATAAGCTTTTTTCCATATTGTATATTAGACACTTGTTATTGAGTTGATTAAGATGGTTCTGCTGACTCTCTCCTGTGATCATACAAATGGGACAACTGGTGTGATGTGCAGATGACATCTAGTATATTCTCGAGGACGCTGATACAACAACAAAAAGGGATTCCGGTAGGTAGGAGTTTTGCTTGAAAAAAATATTGTCACCTTTAACCAGCGTCCCCGAAGGGGGAGCGTTAGGTTATAACTGTGACTAGGTTATGTGCGCCATAGAAAATGGCTTACCATTTCATGCCACCAAGTGCCCTGAAATTGACTCCTGCAAATTTGATGCCATCAAAGGAGACAGACCCAGTCCCGGCCAAAGTCATCTACCTGCGAGCCAAGTGGCGACCCGGTTGCCGATGACAAGGGCCTGAAGTGTGTGTTTTCTTTTAATTAGGTTTTTTTTTGTGTGGGAAGGGCG